TGTTTGGCAGCGAGATCCTTTACTTGTAGATTCAAAACATGAAGTTAGCTAATGATCCTGCTTATCTTAAAGTTTAATATCTAGGAGTATCCATAAGACAAGAGTTAAGAAACCTAATCTAGGCTCATGTCTTCCTCTTCATCCTTCTTGTCCTTTGAGTCTCCTTCCTTTTGGTCAGATTTGACATTGTTTTGCATTGCTTTAGCAAAGGCCTCTACATCTGAAACCAAGGAGACATTACGTTAGTACTTTGGCAATGGAAAAGAGCGTGCAGTAAGAGGATGGGCTGTTGAACAAATATTTAGGTTTCAGTGTGGCTACCACTTAAGAAGCAAACTAAAGATACTGAACAACCAAGTACCACTCTAGCAAATGTGAACGGGCAAAACAATCCAGAGATCTGCACATACTCAAGCTGCAGAAGACCCCACTGCCTTCACTAGACACCGTTGGGATTATTCAGTCATTCAGTCTTTGCTGAGACAAAAGGTGTTAGACTGTAGTAGCCAACTTTAACCTTGATCCCTGTCATCAGATCAGCCTTCAAATTAAGGAGACATGGGTTCCCCAAAAATCCACAAAATATCAAATACCATTGCTAAACTAAGTGGCAACTTCATGCCTCCCACCAGATGCAGTTCCACAAAGGAAAACAAAGCAACTTACCACCTTTGTTTGCTGCATCCACTGCCTCAGCTGGTAAGCCAAACTGACTCATTAAAGGCCCCAATTGCCCAGAAGCCAAGGCAGCGCTGAACATGCTCAGGGCCTAGAAACACAAAGAAGAGCCAGTTTATATTCTCGTAGGGTTCCTTTTTAATTCAGAGAAGCATCAGATTGCAGTTGATCCTTTCTGGCCGAGCTGTTGGAATACTGTTCCTTAGAAAATCTAGTGAAGATGATCTAAAGCAGGCCTTCTGAATGACAAACTGAACTCCCATCAAGCTATAAATTAGGCATACAATTCAATGAGATCCACTGTTTTCCTCACTCGAACTATCTTATGGTACAGAGTAGGGTCCCAATCTAGTTGACTTCTGACCTCCCCCCTGCTTACATGTTCACATTCTACATTCAATCACTCAGCTGTCTCTACTGACAGTCAACTGGCAAAATGAAAACTACCAGACTCAAATAAATTGGGCTGGTCATTGAGGCAACATTGTGGCCTCACAACTAATCACAATTTAGTTTTTCTAAGACAGATTCATCAATAACCATTGGCTTTGACACTCTCTAAGGAGTAAAGGGTAAGCCACAGATCAGACTTCAGTAGCTCCTTCACTTCCATTTTTTAACTCAATATGCAAGACATGGAAAAACAGGCAGCTGGCCCTTGAGGCTGTTTCATACAGCTTTCTCCACTGGCAGCCCCATGCCCGCCCAAGTTTGCCAAAGTTTTAAGATCTCTCCTGGCTATGCTTTGGCCAATTTCCTCTACCGTTAGTCAACCAAAGAGCTCATCCTGGTCTGATCAGGTGTCTCCCCCGCAATGTTCAGAGTGGTTACCTGCTGGAACTGTGGAGAGGTCAGTGTGTTCTGGATCTCCTCTGCTGTCTGTGGTAGAGATTCCCCTGAAGGGAGGTAAGGCAGCAGACGCTCTTGAACCTCTGTATTTGCCAGAATAGGTGCCATAATTTCAGGGGTCAGTACGGTGGATAAGTCAACTGAGAAAAAATACAATACGATTATCCTCCCAAAGCAGAAGCAATAAACAAAGTTGCTACAGGTGGCCCTTAGCAGCTCTCAGGTGTCACCCAGGCATAATCAAGCTGCACCTAAAAATCTACACCGAGATTAAAAATCTGAGATTTTACAGCCAGACCTTAAGCAGACCTTAATTTTTTGATCAGTGTATGTCATTAAGTGTATGTGTATGTTGTGTGCTGTCAAGTCCCATCCAACATACGGTGGGGTTTTTCCAAGGTATGTGACATTTTTAAGGAGTGGCTTTACCAGTTCCACCCTGAGTTCCCATGGGCAAGCAGGGATTTGAATAGAGGTCTCCCTGCGTCCCACCTAGGATCATCATTATCCACTACACACACTGGCACCATAATAATTATCTGTTACCGTGTCTTATATATCATTAAATAAACCCTAGATTCCTGTACTCGCCCCCTACCCACAGTGATCTCATTTATTCTGACGCTACACGACGGCAGTGATACAGAAACAACAGGCAAGGTGCTTTGTGGCGGGAGGGGACCATCTCTCTGCCAGCCACCCTTTTACCTTGCTGCCCTCCTGCTCCGGCTGGCACGTTCATAGTTGCTAAGATCGTTTGGAGGTCACTCAGTTGGATGGGCTGGGTAGGGCTTGTTGCTGTGCTGGTCCCGTTTCCTGAGCTTGGAGCGGGACTCGGACTGGTGGCAGAGGCAGCTGCGGGAGCCGTAGGAGCCGCCGGCGTTACCCGTGTGGAGGAAGTACTGGAAGACGGTGTCACGGCTGCAGACTGGCTGCGGGAGCTAGGGGGAAAAAATCACACCATTAACACCTGCAAACATGATGTTTGGTTTGGAGCTGGGGGGGAAGGAGGGGTATCAGCTTAAACAACCAAATAAAATCCAGTCTAGAGCACTGGCTAAGTCTTTTCCCATGAGCACCAGAGAAGTTCTGGGCAATTCAACTCATTCTTCTAAATGGAACAGGGTCCTTCCTTCCTCAGTTTGTAATGCAAATGTGGAAATAGGCAGTTTTATTGCAGTCACAAGCATTACAACTGATAATACATCAAATATAAGGTACAATTTTAGTTCTTCCCCGAGAGAGAAAAAAGAGAGCAAATAACACTTTTACAAGCAAAGTATTAAACAGACAGTTGCATACAAGTTAAACAATGCTACTGCCCAGAAAAGTCATAACAACATACTCTGCCCCAGTTTGGATCCTATTTTCACTCCAATCCTAAACCTACTATACGACATAAAGTCAGACTACCTTCTTCTATGGGAGATATCCAGGCTATTTTCATCCTTGACACACATACTCTCAATCAACAATATGAGGATAATACTGGCTTCGTTTACAGCTACAGGGACTGTTGAAATAACAGCGTGGAGCATTTAGATCACTTCAAATAAGCCAAAGTATTATGCCTATGGCTTTGCTACTCCTGCAGTTGCTCTCCAGTGAGTCCATTCCAGAGACCTACAGTAGTATTTAAGGCATCACAATAAGAGAAAACTGAGATCAAGCGCAGATAAAAATCAATTGTGTAGCCAAGAGGTCTCTTATTCAAGTGGCAAAAGAACATTAAAACATTACAATCAATATATAACAAGAAGCAACAGGTAGCGATGAAATATTTCAGTAGGGGTAGAGGCATGTTCTGAAAGTACACCCATTTTATGTACTGAAGAAAAAGACTGTTGTGATCCAAGAATCCTCTTACCTTGACGAAGAGCTACTTGTTGCCGGCCCTCCACTTCCAAGCAGACTCGCCAGACCTGGACCTGTCAGGGCACCAAGCCCACCTTTCACACACATGGAAAAAGAGTAGCATCTGTTCAGAGATTGGGGTTTTTTTCCCAAAGGCTCATTTAAGCTACTTTGGGTTTATAGTCCTTCCTCAAATCCTGGAGAGTGAGATGCCCAGCTCAATCACTTCATGATTTTGTTACCATATTTTTCGCTCCATAAGACGCACTTGGCTATAAGACACACCTTGCATTTGAGGCGCCATCAAGGGTGAAAGGGTGTACGCGTGGAGGAGCGGGGGGGGGACTCAGGCAGCAGCATGATTTCCCCTCCTTTTCCAGCACTCTAAACACCTTTTCTTTCCCCCGGAACACTTTTCTTTGTGGCCTCATGGCTGCGTTGAAAAAGGCAAGGGGGATGGAGCTTTGAGGACCCAGGCAGGCCGTTTTAGCTGCTGTTTTTCCAGCACTCTAAACATCTTGTCTTCCCCCGGATCACTTTCCTCCCATACATCTTTCCTTAACACCACTCTTTCTGTGTCCTCCCTCCTCTCTTGTACTTAAAGCAAAATCTTTTATGCATAAACAAACAAACAAACAAACAAATCTTGTACTTAAAGTAAAATCTCTTATGCATAAACAAACAAACAAAACACCATGTCAAGAGGTCCTGAGCCTTTCTGAGCCTTTGCAAGGGCTGGTTTTAGCCTACAAAGCCCTAAAAGGCCTGAATCTAAGCTATCTCAAAGAATGTATCTCCCTTTATGAACCAGCTCAGGTATTAAGATCATCAGGAGAGGCCTTTCTCTTGGTTTCACTACCTTCGCAGGCATGTTTGAGAGGGCCTTCTCTGTGGCTGTTCCCAGACTTTGGAACTCCCTCCCACAAGAGGCCAGATTGGCCCCGTCTTTGCTATCCTTCCACAAGCAGGCAAAGACCTTTCTCTTGAAGGAAGTCTTCCCTCAGTAACCAGCTACCTGTCTGTGTGTTTTAGATAGATTACTACATATTACTGCTAGTGGATTTTTAGTACTACTTGTGTTTTCCATTTTTGTCTTTCTATTTTTCAGAGTGGCAATATATATTTGTATATCTTTGCCTTAACATTGCTTGTTAATGATGTAAGATGTCTCTGTACTCCTTGTTCACCTTTGTATACTCATTGGTTTCAACTTTAAATATTGTCTTCCTTTGTTGTAAGCTGCCTTGGGTCCTTTTCAAGGAGAAAGGTGGGGTAAAAATATTTCAAATCAATCAATCAATCATCATAGCATGCTAGGTAAGCCAAATGGTTTAGGATGCTGCATCACTACACAGGTCCCCAACATGCCCTTGTTTTTCAGCTCTGCCAGCAAAACACCAACAGAGGATTCTTAGAGAGCAGGCCAGGAAGGTGAATGCATTATTTACCACCAGTAAAGCAACAGTTATGTCACCTTCTAAGACCCAAGCCAGCCTGTGGCTGAGGTTAGAGGTCCTAATCAAGACAAATACTATTTTGGCATAAAGTTGTGAAAGTTATTTACCAAGTCCTCCTAAGCCAGTTGGTCCAATCAACTGCATGAGCTGATTGTGGCTCATATTTCCTAGAAGGCTCTGCAAGCCACCTTCACCTAAAAAAGAAACAAAAAAGTAGTATTCAGAATTCTTAACAGCACTCCAAGTAAGAAAAGAAAACCATGCCATTTAAACTGATTCTGTGAGGAGTCTTGTGGCTCTTGTTGGTGATGTGCCATAAAATCACTTGACTTAACACAATCTTAAGAATTAGTGACCTCAAACAGGTCTGGTTAGTAATAACTCTGCTCATTTCTTGCAATTTCACAACTGTAAGGTAAAGGTTCCCCTTGATATTTAGTCCAATAGTGTCCGACTCTAAGGGGCGATGCTCTTCCGTCTCCAAACCATAGAGCCAGCGTTTGTGGTGATGTGCCATAAAATCACTTGACTTAACACAATCTTAAGAATTAGTGACCTCAAACAGGTCTGGTTAGTAATAACTCTGCTCATTTCTTGCAATTTCACAACTGTAAGGTAAAGGTTCCCCTTGATATTTAGTCCAATAGTGTCCGACTCTAAGGGGCGATGCTCTTCCGTCTCCAAACCATAGAGCCAGCGTTTGTCCCTAGACACTCCATCTCCAAACCATAGAGCCAGCATTTGTCCCTAGACAGTTTCCATGGTCACGTGGCCAGCGTGACTAGACACGGAATGCCGTAACCTTCTCACTTTGGTGGTACCCATTTATCTACTTGCATCTGCATGCTTTCGCGTTGCTAGGTTGGCAGCTGGGCCAAGCGATGGGGGCTCACTCCATCACGTTGATTTGATCTTACGACTGCTGGTCTTCTGACCTTGCAGCACAGAGGCTCCTGCGGTTTAACCCACAGCACCACCATGTCACAACTGTAGCCTCCTTTATTCATTCAATCCATATCATGCTTGATCTTCTTTTGCTCTTGCCATCTTTTCTAATTATCCACCTCCAAAGATTTTGTACACAAAAAGGGGATACATAAATCAAAACCAGAATTGGCTCAATGTGCTCTAAAATTTATGCAGTAGGGAATTCTGGAAAACTTGCATACCTCCGAGGGCAGAGAGTTCATGACCTCCACTTCCACTACCACCCAGAGCTCCAGGCATTGGTGGATTGTTAAGGTACTCATTCACCTTACGACAGTGCTCTTCATCTTTCTCAGTCTTGGGTTCCTAAAAGAATAAACTACTGCAGTCTAATCCATAGCACCTCAAGTGTTCCATGCAAACTCCTTGTTTTATACAGCAAATCAAGGGGCAATTCTGCTCCAATTCCACATTCAACCAACTACCCCCCCAAACCCTACTCTCTCTTCTCCACAAACCCAAATCAAGAGGTTTCTATCCAGCTACTTCCACATTTTATTTTTAATTTAATATCCTGCTATTTCTGAGTTTGGTGCAGCCCATCAAGAGTACTGGGGGGGGGAGGTAAACATTTGGCTCCCAGGCACACCAAAGCTGCCCACTCCTATGCTAACAGAAGAGAAATGAGTAGGCCATTGAGACTGCTGTCATTACAAACCTGCATCCAGAAGAAGAGTCTCTTGGATCCCGCCTTGAACTTCAGCACATATACACGGCCAGTAGTACACTGAGGCACCCTCTTAAATTCACAGTCATCAGGAAAAATAATTAAGTCCTGAAATGCAGGCAAAATTACAATGTTTGGCTAAAAGAAGTAGAAATACTGTTTAGATTTTAATGAATAGTGATCAATAGCCTCCTTCTCAAACAAACTATAGTTAAGTATCTCAGAGGCTCCTAGGAGGGGGTTTGCAAGGTACATACATGTTTCAAGCATATTAAAACATTTCCCTTTGGCAAGATGTGCAAATTCCACACCAATATGACGCCTTGTTGGGAGTAGACAGGAAGAGAAAGGAATGACTCTTTACCAGTCCTTAACTCTCCTCGACACAAATTCACACAAGATTTTGTGCAAGGCAGTTTTAAATCTACAAATATACAGTTTAAAAAAGAGGTGCATTCCACTTACATCCTCCACATTCCCAGAAGTCCTGTCTTTCCAACAGAAATGGATGAGGGAATCATCTGTTTGCTGGATGTATACAAGACCTTTCCTTTTGTCTGGTGTCACCGTGCTGCCTTTCAAAGACATCTTTCCTGCACGGAATTCTACCAAGTATTTGCTAGATGAGCCCCGAGAGCCTGGCACCAGGCTTGGAAATAAAGCACCAGAAGACATCCTGGAAAGAGATAATGGTTCATGATCAATGTTTATGCATCTAGAGCTTTATTTATGCCTGAGTTGAGAAATGGGAAAAAACAGCGTTCCCAATTT